TAAACAAGGAAATTGAAGACAAGACTAATCTGATAATATATTTCAAAAATAGATACTTTATACATGTATCATGTAAATACGATGAAAAAAATCTAACAGAAAGGCCACTGAAATGCAACCAAAAAGCCATTTAAAGGCAACCAATTGTCACTGAAAGGCAACTGAAAGGGGATGGAAAGGCCACTGAAGGATAACTGAAATGTGTCCGCCAAATGAAGACTGAAATGTGCCAGAATTGTGGCTGATAAATCGCTGATGTGTATCTGCCACTTTGACTTTTAAATGAAAAGTCTGATTTATTCCTGTGTTTCTTTTAAAATTTTAACAAATGAAATATGAAGATAACGAACAGTATTCAATCTCTTAAGTCCAATGAAACGATACATATTTGGAGCAGAGCTAAATTTAGAGGAGGGATCAGGTGCAATGGAGCAGTGGGCATCCCCTGCCGACCGGACACACCCGCCGTGCGCTCCTTGTAATGATCGGAGGAAAAACGGAAAAATCCGTAGACAGTTCAGTTTATAAATTATAACTACATAAAGCAGGGCTATCCCTTCCTCTTTATAAACACCCCTACTCTGTTATTGGGATTTAAGTTCCAGACGCGTCGTCATGGTTGCCCCTTTTCATAGGTTACAGGGTAGAGCCTGTTATATAAATAAATTTGCAGCAAGTAGGAAATTACTATAGTTTTTTCCTTAAATATATGTACCAGGAACAATGCGTTTCCAGACCTCTCTAAAAGATTTTCATGATTTTAAAAAAGCAGAGGTTGGGAGTAAAAATCATATGCTCACCATCTTTATGCTGGATTCCTAAACTTCAAAAAATCAGTATAAACAAATTATCCAAATTTTATGGACTTTAAATAACCTTGTTTGAAAAAACAATCTATCAATTGATTGTATTTTAATTGACATGCCTCATACCAATTGTAAGACCATTATTATTATACTGAATTTATTTACTGATTTTTTCATCTACAAGTACCTGATCAATACATTTTGTTTACGGTTGGTGTGACCGGAAAACAGGAGATGCTTACCTATTATATGATTTTTATATTACATGAGATAGAATATTAAATATGATTAACTCAGCTTTTAATCAACATATTCTTGTTCTAGTTGCAGAACACCGATGCACTATTGAATTGTAGGACATGCAGTGTAGGGAAAAAGGATCGCGGATTAACATATTTAATTATTTACATTAAGTGTGAAACTTTGTTTTTTTTGGCATTGGATATTGAAAAGCTAAAGAAAAAAATTGAACAAGTACTGATAATTTCAATAATGTATTGAATCTATAACCGACTCTATCCTGTCATGTGAACAGAGTCTCCAACTTTAATTAAAATTCAAATAAATTATCTACTTTACAGTGTGAACCAGATGCCTTACAAATAACCTGCATTAATTGCACATTAATTGCACTCACTAGGATATGCTATAGGATATTTATGATTTCCCAAAATAACCTTGTGACATAAGGTGATAATGGAAAACATAAACACTTTATTCTCTTCACAGATGGTCCAGGAAGTATAACAATAATTCCACAGCCGACTGATGGGGGTATATATGTCCATGAAGGGGAAACATTTGGTCCATACACCTGCTCAGCTGATTGTTATCCACCTTGTACCTTACAATGGAAGTACAAAAGTCCTACCGGTGAACTTAGAGACGCTACATCCATTGGCATATCTTCAACTCTATTACCACAGCAAACAGCAAACAGAGCCAAAATGGCATTGATTCGATGTTTAGTTAACGGAACTGATGGTCGCTCTGTGTCAAATATTAAGTTAAACATTCAATGCAAGTGGATGTGCAACCATGTGTAGAAAAGGATATCTTTACAATTTTGTAAAAAAAAAAAATCAGCTGTAAACCATTTTCCGATTGTTTCTCTTCTTCTGTTCTTTAAGCTCTTATAACAAAAAATCATCATGATAACACTTATTTCAATCACACATTTATAGCCTTAAGATCCTAAATAATATTTAATTTGCTTTTACATTTTAACTGATATATGAATAATATGGCACATTCGATATGACATGCAGTGTAGGGAAAAAGGATCGTGGATTAAGATATTTAATTATTAACATTAAGGGTGAAACTTTGTTTTTTTTTTTTTGGCATTGGATATTGAAAAGCTAAAGAAAAAAATTGAACTAGTACTGATAATTTCAATAATGTATTGAATCTACAACCGACTCTATCCTGTCATGTAACCAGAGTCTCCACCTTTAATTTAAATGTTAGAAATTTATATTTCTTTTTAAAAATCAAATAAATTATCTACTTTACAGTGTAAACCAGGTGCCTTACAAGTAACCTACACTAATTGCCTTCACTAGGATATGCCGTTCGATATTTATGAGAGTTCCCAAAATAATCATGTGACATAAGATGTTAATGGAAAACATATATATTTTGTTCTCTTCACAGATGGTCCAGGAAGTATAACAATAATTCCACAGCCGACTGATAGGGGTTTAGATGTTCCTGAAGGGGAAACATTTGGTCCGTACACCTGCTCAGCTGATTGTTATCCACCTTGTACCTTACAATGGCAATTCAAAAGTCCGTTAGGCGAATTTAGAAATGCTTCATCCATTGGCCTGTCTTCAACTCTATTACCACAGCAAACAGCAAACAGAGCCAATATGGCATTGATTCGATGTTTAGTTAACGGAACTGAAGGTCGCTCTGTATCAAATATTAAGTTAAACATTCAATGTAAGTGGGTGATGCAACCATGTGTTGAAAAGGAAAACTTTACTACATTGTAAAAAATTCAGCTGTAAACCATTTTCCGATTGTTTCTTTCCTTCTGTTCTTTAAGCTCTTATAACATAAAAAATCATCATGATAACACTTATTTCAATCACACATTTATAGCCTTAAGATCCTAAATAATATTTAATTTGCTTTTTCATTTTAACTGATGTATGAATAATATGGCACATTCGATATGACATGCAGTGTAGGAAAAAAAGAATAGTGGATTAACCTATTTAATTATTTACATTAAGGGTGAAACTTTGTTTTTTTTTTTTTTGGCATTGGATATGGAAAAGCTAAAGAAAAAAAAAATGAACTAGTACTGATAATTTCAATAATTTATTGAATCTACAACCGACTCTATCCTGTCATGTAACCAGAGTCTCCACCTTCAATTAAAATGTTAGAAATTTTCATTTTTTTTTTTAAATCAAATAAATTTTCTACTTTACAGTCCTTACAAATAACCTACATTAATTGTACTCACAAGGATATGCCGTTCGATATTTATGATTTCCCAAAATAACCTTGTGACGTAAGATGTTAATAGAAACCATATATATTTAATTCTCTTCACAGATGGTCCAGAAAGTATAACAATAATTCCACGACCGCCTGATGAGGGTTTAGATGTTCATGAAGGGGAAACATTTGGTCCGTACAATTGCTCAGCTGTTTGTTATCCACCTTGTACCTTACAATGGAAATACAAAAGTCCTACTGGTGAACTTAGAAACGCTACAACCATTGGCATATCTTCAATTTATTTACCACAACAAACAGCAAACAAAGCCAATATGGCATTGATTCGATGTTTAGTTAACGGAACTGAAGGTCGCTCTGTATCAAATATTAAGTTAAACATTCAATGTAAGTGGATGTGCAACCAAGTGTTGAAAAGGAAAACTTTACTACATTGTAAAAAATTCAGCTGTAAACCATTTCCCCCAGGGCAACTTTTCATCTGTTCTTTTAGTTCTTATAAAAAAAAAATTATTATAACACTGATTACAATCACACATTTATAGCCTTAAGATCCTAAATAATTTTTAATTTGCTTTTTCATTTTAAATGATGTATGAATAATATGGCACATTTGATATGAATGTTAAATCATGTACTTTAAAACATAAAAGTAAACATCTGGTATAAAATCATTGGGAAAATGATATATAAATAAAGTCTATTTTTTCACACTCATACAAGTAAATGGTTATGAATCTAGGAGCAATCGGTAAAAATTTAGATAAAAACTTTCGGTATTTCATTTCTTGCATTATAAGTGTCCTATATGATTGCCAATTTGACGTGTCTAAAAAATGAAATTATTAAGCTGTATTCGAAAGAAACAGCAAAATCATTTTGCATTTAATGTACCTGCATTTGAAATTTTCAACTTTTCTGGGAATTAATTAATCTTAAACATTAAAAAAAAACATTCGTGAATAAAATATCTTATGTTTCTATAACACACGTGTCTTTAAACCATTGATCTATTCAGCTGATTGAATAATGAACATCTTTAAAAAATAAACCAACCACTGACTTGAACTTTAATTCTGAAAAAAATGTAAGCTTACAACTGAATTGTAAATCTTTTAATGGACAACAAATTGGTATTCACTGGACTATTTTTTATCAGATTTATTGGACCCAAGGGTATATATTAATGGCAAACCTAAAAATGCATCAACCATTAATGAAACAACTCCAGTTCTTCTGTCGTGTTTCGTCGATGGTAATCCTATTCCAGAAGTCACCCTTCGAATACTTACTGGGAGCCAGATCCTTATACAAAGTGGACATCACTGGTTAAACTACACATTGATCAGAATGGCTCAGTGTTCTGACACAGGAACTTTCGAATGTGTCGGAAAATCGACTGAGTTTGGGAGACGGAATCAGTCATTCAGTATTAATGTACTATGTAAGTAAATGAAATTATATATATATATATATATATATATATATATATATTCTAAATGCTCACCATTTCTTCAATTCGGATTTTTCAAGTGCAAATATCCAAAAGAAATTAGAAGGTATTGATAAAAGGCCTTTTAAACTGAAGTAAATTGACGATACGAATGAATAAAAAAGTGTAATATCTCTCACAATTCAGGACGTCATATTTTCATTATAGACGCTTTTCATAGTTTTGTAGAGTTCACTTATTAGCGACATACTATTATGGCATTGTAGGTGATCCTCGACTTGATGAATTTACTTTAGTGAAAAACATCTATGGATCAAGAAGTGGTCCGGATGTAAAAGTTGTTGTAAGTTTACCAGTTGTTGCGAATCCCCTATCATCTACATCAGGGTTCGCTTGGTCTGGACCTTCATCTGAGTCTATATCGATTAAAGTTTCACAAAGAGATAAAGTAATCTACAAACACTGGATCAATAGCACCATCCCTGTTCCTGATCGGAGGTCTTTCGGAAGCTATTCACTGATGTATAAAGAAAAAGTCATAGCTGATATAACAATCAAAGCCGAAGGTTTTATTTTTTAAAATAATCAATGAACATGGATTTAAACTTATTAACATAACTAGCGCCGTCTGGTTTTATTAACAAGGCGTTTACTAGAATATGGTGTATAGAACTTTACTTACCTTAATATTTTTCTTCACGTTACTATGTCAGATAAACCCCAACCACCTTTGAACTTTTCATGGTATTCCTACGCTAGTGGATACATCAACCTTACCTGGATATCAGACTTTAATGGAGGACTAGAACAAATCTTTATCTTGTCCAGCAAAGAGGGGCCCGACTGGAGAGTTGTTAATAATGTGACAGACCCTGGTGAAGGTAATATTGGATACTATGACCTTGGACCTTTAACCTCAGGACTGCAGTACTGGTATCGACTGGAGAGTTGTAATAGAATCAGTTGTTCTTCAAGCCCTGCAGAAGTAAACGTCACAGTACAAGGTGACTATTTGCTGGTTTATAATATTGGTATCATGTCAACCACTAAATAATCCTCCATTATATGTGTACATCAAAGATAAAAACGTAATATATTTTGTCTGTGTAAAAATAATTACAAGTTTGACAATATTTCACTGATAGAAATATTTCAAGCAAAATGAAAATTTAATTAAATTAAAGGAAAAATTAACCTCAATAAGCATTGTAAGTACGATTTAAAGTGGGGGTAAGTTAATTTCACTTTTATTTAATCGTTATATGAATTATTTAGTTATGAAATATGGAGAGATAACGAGCAGTAATCAAGCTCAAAAGTTCATTGAAACAATACAGATCGGAAGCAGATCAAACACAGGCATCTAAATACATCAGAGGTGGGATCAGGTACCATGGAGGAGTGAACCGATTACACCCGCCGTGTGCTCCTTGTCATGATCAAGTTTAACGGAAAAATCCTTAGACAATTCACAGTTCAAATAATGGCCTAACAATTAGTATGAAGAACGTCAATCAGCATTCGACTATATGATAGATGGTATTTGCCGTCATCGTTTCGACCAAGAGATATGGAGATAACGAATCAAACTCAAAGATCCATTGTAACAATACAAATCTACGATTCAATATTAAATGGACTGCAAAAACCAATTAAAAATATCGTTTTTATGAAAAAAAATACAGATTAGAAATTTAAACAGATGTCACGGCTGTTTGTAATCTTCTTGTTACGTTGTTATAAAAGAAAATGAAGTCTATGCCACGTTCAGAACACCAGCAGTTCAAGGATAAGGAGAACGAGTAGCATCATTTAGGCATATAGATGGTTTGTTTTATAAATTACTTTATCCGTGAACATACGTGTTTTTGGTCAGGCAATCCATCAAACAATTGTATTCAACGATGGTACAACAAATTAATACAGAGGCAAATCGCCTTGATTACAATATTGCTTTGAGAAACCTAGAATGCCACATTTATTAACAAATAAATTGTTTGTAATTGTGAGCTTAGAAATCATAGAAAAAATGGACATATTGTTTTTCATATACGAAATGCATTGAAAAAATGAATAGTTGTTCAGAATTGATATATATATATATATATATATATATATATATATGTTTTCTAAATGATAACGTTTAAACATTTACGATATGTTATGATATAGGACGTCATGAAAACGGATTTAATCTATTCCGATGAATTAATCACATGTCATCTATTGTTCATATTATATGGTGAAAAATATTAAAACAATTGTAACATATTCAAGCGCAATATAAAGGTTGTTATACGAAAACCTACACCATATTTTTTTCTTAAATATATGTTATTACGTAAAACATATATGTAACATAGTCTTTGAATAGATTGAATTTTCCTAACGTATCTAAGCGTATTTCAAAAAAGATCCAGAATTGAAAAAAAAGGATAAGAATACTTGTAATCATGATGCTTTTGTTGATTAAGTAATATACAGTTTTTCTAAGTATTTGCAAAATATCGACTACGTAATTTCAAATCAAATTTAAAAAAAAAGCATGTTTCTATCTGCAATTTTTCTAATAAAGTGAGACATCAGTATAAATTCTCGGAAAAGATCATTTTTATTTCAATAGATGATTTCTAAAAATCAGAAGGCATTATTGAAAATTAAAATTTTACGCATAATTTCAAGCCGTTTTAGGGAACACCCTTGACTATATGAACCTGGAATTTTATACTTAGCCTGTGGAATTTCCGAGATCCGTGTTTTACGCCCTGTTCACAGAATCACATATCCAGGAAATCACACTTGGCTTTATGAACCAGGTTTTTAGATCTGCCATCAAAATGATATTAAAGCAGTCATCAGTTTTTGGACTGATATATATATATATATATATATATATATATATATATATATATATATATATATTATCATAACGGTAACTTGATTCCGAAGAGCCGTATCACGTCAAGTTGACAGGCGCGGATCATCAGATCAAACGAGACGCCAAGCGCCTGTCAACGAGACGTGATACAGCTCTTCGGATCAAGTTACTGTTATAATGATAGATTTATTATATACCTCTTTATAACTAGCAAAATATAATAAAAGGAAACTTTAAGGATCAATTACATAACTTTTATCTATTGAACAAACCATTTTGTCAAGGAACTTTTTGATGCGCGAGAATAAAAACGTCATTTATATGTGTACTACGTCATCAGTTTCAAAGAGGGATGATATGGATTTAGAAAACCACAGTGTGGTGATCCAGAACGTCGGATCACATCGTCACTTGATTGCATAAATTCAACAGTAAAACTGAGTGACAAACAGTTGGGTATATAATAAAAGCATGAATTGAAATATATTTAACGAAAAAACAATATTTTTCACTCAGATGACATATAAAATTTTACAGGTGTAAGTATCGATTCTAGAGAACCCCTTGCCAAGGAGATCTGGATTGTTGTTGGAGTCGTCGCTGGTTTATCTGTTTTCTTGCTGATGAACTTTATTGTTTATAAGTTCGCACTTCATCGAGGTAAATCTATATAAATCTTTTAATCTCTCACCTGACCATAATATGTTAATCTTTTAGATTTTTAATTTTCTTTGACTATCATGTTCTTTGTGATTTTATATCAAAATAGCAAATTCAGCATATGACTGGCAAGGTAATTGTTCGAAGAAAAAATACTTGTCCTATTTCTCATTTTATATAGTTTATTTTAACATATTTTACTTTCAAAAATCATACTTCATGGAAAAGAAATTTAAAAAGGATTAAAATCTTTAAAAAAAATATACAGAAAGTTTACAAAATGTACCCTAAGTCACCAGACCCACTGCAATTCGAAGGAATGAAAATTGGGAACTTTGAACTTTAATTTCAAAATACCTTTAAAAGACGATTAAAACGGCACAGCGAACTAAAACACGTTAAGAAGTAAAAGATATGAATAGAAAAAAACAAAAACAAAAACCATCATATTTTGAATTCATTTGACATATCATTTTCAATTCAAAGTTTGATGTCTATATTACATTTGGTTTTATGTATCTAAGAGTTAGCTTTTAAGGTTACCTGAGTAAACTCAGGTGACCTATTGTTATCTGTATTTTCGTCCGGCGTCGTGCGAAGTGCGTTAATATTTGAATATTTTCATCTTCTTCTCTGAAACCGCTCAATCAATTTCAACCAATTTTGGCATATAGAATCTATGGGTAAAGGGGAACAAAAAATGGAAATTTCATGGTACCTGCCATGAAGCCATCTTAATTTAGGAGCTGTTGCTGAATATTAGACTAATTATTTTTTTATCTTGATCTTCCTACTTCTCTTGCTTTAGGGCAACAAAGCTTCATCTATCAGTTTAATTTAACTTCTATATTTTTGTATTATACTCAGGTGATCGTTAAGGAGGTTGGAGGTAATGAGAATTTTTTATCAAGTATATTTTTAGAATTTATACACATAGCTTAATGAAAAATCAAAACAAAATATGGGGGTCAATGCGCTTATTTTGGTGCTACAGAACATTTAGTTTGGTCTTTTTGTACTGTAAAAACATTTTACACCTAAATCAGTTTTTAAAGTTTTTCCTCCAATATTATTTATTCAAATAAATTATATGAACAAACACAGTCTTAATTCATCTTGAATAGACACATTAAAATTTCTAACAACGAAAAAATTTTCAAATTACTCCGCATGTTCAATTATTTGACCTTTTTGCACTCAAAAAAATTCTTTTTCTGGCATTAAAAATTCAACAAGCAAAAAAATCATTTAAAAGTAATGACATTTTACTGAATTTAAGAAGAATGGCTAAAAGTTTCTTATATATTAAGACAAGAAAATTAAAAGTGGGAATCTGTGATGTTAATTTTTAGATATTACTGAAATAGTGCCAATTATAAGCTTAAAATAATGCAATTTTTTTTCTTGATTTTGACAATATATTTACTTTATTTATCAAATATTATGATAGAATTCATGACATTTTATTAAATATATAATTTATTACCAGTAAAACAGTTCACTGCACAAAATAACTGTGTGCAGACTGCATGTAAAAATAGGAATCAAAACTTAACATACTTTAAATACTAATAAAGAGAAAAAAATGATCATTTTCTTCTAAAAAAAAAACCTTCCGCCACAAAATATAGTTCTTCACTTAGTGCTTTTGGTATGGAATTAAATCATGGAATTTTAACTGAATATAGTTGAATTGGCATTGTAGAATCCCAAATTTATTGTAAGAATTAAAACATTATGCAGAATTTTTTGAAATATAGGTTAAGATAAAAATCTGCTCAAAAGCTCAGGAGCAAACCTCGTTAAGGCCCTTGGGCCTTTTGTTTGAGTTTTTTATTCAACACAAGCAAAAGGCAAAAAAATAAATAAATAAATAAATAAATAAATAAATAAATAAATAAATAAATTACGTAATAGAGGAGTAACAATGGCAAGGGTCATTTATCGCTGCGAGGGGCAATGTTATCATGAGCAGCCAAAGTTCCTAATGCGCAGCTGCAGGTTTATTGCATAAATATTGCATGTGGTCCATTTTCCTAAACTAAAATTATCTTGAAAGAAAATCAAAAAAGCAGAAAAAAAAAATGAGCAGAGCAACTTTAAGATATCTTTTGATACAAAGGTGGATAGATTTAACAAACAGAAGCATTTCACATCAAGTGAAAATAATTAAATAGCACGTAAACTCAACTTGAAAGGATAAAAATAATCTTCTGAAATGTCCTATGAAATTGTACCGTAGCTGTGTCTGAAAAATTATGAAAGTTTGAACATGAATATATTCAATTTTGCTTACTGTGAAATTGTTACAACTCCTTCATAATACTTTGAAAAAGCTTGAAAATGAACGAGCAGTGAAGTTCATAAAAAGAATGGCTTCTCAGAGAACTGATGTCTTCATGTTTCGTCACGTATGATTTAAACGCTTCTGTTAAAGAAATATTTTCATTACATATTTTTCTTATGTCGCAGGAATACGATTAGGCTTGATGGTTCAGCCACCACAACCAGCTCACCTTAGAACCATGGATTTCCTAAACCTTGACAACATGGAGGAAGGTACTGAGAACACAGAGCAAACACGATCAATGACAGATCTTCCGACTTTCAGAGGCCATACTGAAAACCAATATGCAGAGTTGAAACCTCATCAAAGTAAATTTTATACGTCTCTTAAGCGTAAATCTCTGTAAGCATCAAAATGGATGGAAATCGACTCTCGTCTTTTTTGTTGAAACTTTGTACAATATTTACATTATAAGCCTATTTTATAAAAAAAAATATTATTGAAAATGATCAATTGGTCTTGTTTCCATGGCAACAGATTACCTATTTTCGCACATTGATGGAAAATACCTATAAATTTTATTTCAACCCATTAATGTAAATTTAATTAATGTAGGTGACTATTATTATTTTTTTCTTAAAACTAATTTGTCATTTGTTTATTCCATACACGAAAGTTACAAAAAAAAATCTTGGATCTGCCGATAAATGCCAAATTATATCAAAAATTGCTTTTAATAAAAGGTGGGGAATACATAGAAGTGTGCACAAAATCGTAGGCACTGGTGGAATATTTTGATGCTCTGAATTTTACCCTAAAAAATAATAAAGAATATATCAAAAATTGGAGAGTTATTATTTATTTTAAGAAAATTAACTGATTTTTAAAGTTTGTAGAAATCTTTAAATTTACACACATTTTTGTCAAGAGTTATTTCCCCTTTTGGAAATCTTCTGCTAAAATCAAAGAAAATGAAAGTGAAAGAAGAGAGCAGGACATGACTTTGAGGAGTAGATTCTGTCTGTTTTGGATATTTTCATGGTTTTTTTTTTTTTTAACCCAACTTGTGTGGGTTTTTTTTATATTACCCATAGTTAAATGTTTGTTCAGGCCTTACTGTGTCTGAGAAATATACATGTATGCGAATAGTGGTGATAAACATGAAAATGGATTGCACCTATTTAAGTCCTACCTAGGTGACATAATATGCATAATTGCAAAAAAAAGTGTTCAAAAAAGTACATCATTTACCTGGACTTAAGAGTCACGAGTTGATTGGAATAATAAGGTCATATAGAAAGATACTTGGCAGTAAGAAGAACACTAGGCAAGTACCAGTGAAAATGTTTACTTTCCTCAATATTTACTTAAACTCGGCCTCACACGTTTTGTAATAAGTTAATTAATAACACGGTAAGACTATCTATATGAAAGAAACATTAAAGTATCCAAAACATAATAACTACATGAATCTAATTTGATCAATATTTTAATGTCTATGAATATCTAATCATATTTTTAAACTATCTGTTGAAGAAAATCATGTTAACCTAGTTACCTAAAGCATATCTGTAGTGTATATCGTCGCCTGAGAATTATAATGTTCTATCAGGATTTTGCAAATTTTGGGAAGTTAAGCTAAAGTTTAGGGATCAAAATCTTTTTACTCATAGCCTTTTGGATTTTGAAATAAGGCATAAATACTTAAAATATGCTAATCTACGGCTAAATAAAGTTAATATTCAGTAAATTTGAGCAGAAATATGAAAAAAATTGACATTGAAAATGGAGATAGAAATTTTCGTCTAATATTTTTATGTTGTTTATTTAGAATTAAAATGCTAATGGAGATAGAACATTTTTTATTGAAGAAACTGATGAAATGTTTCACATGCTGAACCTGATATTGATGTGAAAAAAAGTAAAAAAAAAAAAAAAAGTTTTAAATGCAATTATCATTAATTTATTTTTGGACAATAAATCTCTGTTGATCATTTTTGAATGTAGAAACATTATTTACAACAAAAGAAAGCTTAACAAAAGGAGAACAACAAAAATTTCTTGATCTTCTTAATTTTTAAAACATATAAATTAATTATATAATAGATAGGTTTTGTTTGTTCAACAACAAAAACGCCTGAGGCACTCAGGTGCGTCGTGCTGTTTCCATTGTTCCGTCATCAACTTCCTCAAACCTAAACGGTTAAACATTTTCAGCTTCTACCCCAGAACAGCTAGACCAATTTCAACCAATTTTGGTGCTTGAGCATATTATAAATGGATAAAAATAATATACATATATTTCATACATGTAAACTATGTATATTAAATCGTATTTAAAAAAATTAATTGCCAATTATCATGGACTCTGACACCCTTGGGTCAAATGAGAATGGATGAAGCAAAACGTTTTTAAGGAATCTTCAAAATTTTTCTTATTTCCAATTTGACATCTACCAGGCAAATGTTTTGCTTACGCGGGTATGTTAAGGCTACATCCAGAGATATCCTACTTACCTTTAGAATATGACGTCATAGTAAACTGTATGACGTGAACTCTAGAAATAATTATTTCTTAATATCTTTATTTAAAGTTTATTTTCTGGTCCAAGAAATGAATGGAATTATTCAAAAACATAATATAAACTAATTAGTTTTTGGGTGGTTTAAATAGTTAGGTATTTAGCACAGGGGTTAAATACTAAAGCCATGACGTCATTAATTATTGATTAATCATAATTATTGATCAGATATTTTCCGAGTGAATTAAACGCGACGAGAATTCATGTAAACAAATAAATGAAATGGGGGTTTTAAAGCATTTACCGTGAATGTTACATGTATGTGTGATTCATAAGGAATTGAATATTAAGAATCAGATACGCTGATATATTCTGATCATGTTTTTTTTTTATAATGAACACAGCAAGTGCTTTAAAATCCCGATCAGCCTTTCCTCTGTCGTTCTATAATAATTAAGATGTAAAAGTTCAACACTACGCCGCAAACTTTGAAACATACTTTTTGTGTGTATCGAAAGCTTGTATTCTATAGTACTTGAAAATAACAATTCTTTGATCGTATGTATAAAATTTTGGTAAGGTTTAATTCGAAACTTAGGAATATTTTTTTCTGTGTCGGGAGAATAGGATTCTAGTAGCACTTTTCATGGCCCAGTGATGTTTTAACATAGTTATATTCACTAAAAGAAATGAATTATCCCCGGGGTTGTGTTGAAGTTTTCACATTTTCATTAAGGCATTTTTTTTCTATTTATAGACGTCACGTGATGACGTCGTAGTGGAGTGCTTCTTTTAGCCTAAGACTCAGTGACGTCTATACAAGGGATAATAATAGTAAATGTTTTATCTATGGCTTTTCCGATTTATCAATGTTACATTTTACGAAAAAAGTCTAAATTCGCCAAAATATGATCTGGGTACTGCCTTAACATTCCTGCGTAATTATAATTTGTACTCAATCTTCTGTCAAAACTGTGGAAACGAATTCAACTGGGTCCATGTTTTAAGGCCTCACGGTGGTCAGAGTTGGTCATATATTGAATATAAATTACATGATGGGCATCAACAAGCAAACGTTTTACATGGTTATAATAAACATGATGCCCTCTAAAAATATAAGCCCATGGTTCACACCCCAGGGTGGGACTTAATTGGTCGTAATTGAAAATGCATTGTACATTCAAAAATCTTATTTACTCATGTACACATTGCACACATGTAAACCTTTACCAAAACTGTAAAATTTATGGCTCATGATCCCAGCAATTGAACAGAGTATTGGGCCATTGGTCATTAAAATGAGTTCTAAGCTCCTTTCCTACAACTTCAAAATCTTTGTCACCTGTATCCAGCGCTCAAGCCCAATGGTAGGGCTAAGTTGGCCATGTATTGAAATCTATTATACAGTGTGCATAGACTTCTAGGTTGAAAGCCGCATGAAGATGATTATAATCAATTCTCTCAAAAGTATTTTTGTGATACCAGAGATCCAGTTCTTATGGTACTAAAATGGTAATAGCTTTAGAAACTCATGATACTCAGGTGACTGTCATCCAATGCTTCACTAATCAAGCTTTTATAAAACCCTCACATTGAATTAAAAATACACTTCTCTGTTTATTCTGATATCATTAAACTGTTAAATTTTGAAGGGGGGATGTCATGTGCCCTTTCATTTAGGAACTTAATGCATATAATTGTAAGAATTTTAAAATTTATCTCTTATCGGATTATTAAATTGCAACAAAGTAAGAAAATTATTTATACATTAATATTTTTTATCATTATACCTAAAAATCAGTTAAATCTTAGCCAATATACAATGTGTATACTTTACTGAAACAATATCAACCAATATGATAAGGTGGGGATGTATGCATCCTGATGTTGAGGATATGTAAAATGTCTTTTTTTGAAATCTTGATTCATAGATTTATGTGCACAAAGAATAGCAGAAATAGTTTTAGGTAAAGTGAATCTGAAAATAAATATTAATGTTAATTGATAAAGGCCTTTTTTAAAATTTCAATTTGGGGGGGGGGGGGGGGGGGGATGGGGGTGGTAGGTTCACACTAAAGTGTCCCCAACTTAAAGCACAGAAAAATAGGTAAAATTAAACTCACTTTGAATCACTTTAAGTCAAAATGAGGTTCTCTGTTTATTCCAATTTCAAAAGCTTACAGGGAGTTCACTCCTAGGGGCACCCCTACGGACTACGGACAGTGTTTTGGATTTATAAGAACGGTGGTGGTCTGTAGACTGCTTTCCACCTAAAAGCACTTCCCCTAACACAAATCTTGGTATTGTGCCTGAATAAGGAAGATCAGAAGCACAAAAAAATTTAAATTATATAATGAATGGTGATTGTCAATATTAATGTTTATAGTGATTCACAATTGTATCTACAACAGTTTCATTGTATTTGAGCTGAAATGTAAAATGATGGAAAGAAGAAAGGAAAAGAGACACATATAAATAACGTACTCCCTTAGCATATTGTTTGTGGCAAAATTTGAGGGACATGCTATATTCTTTCAGAGGGAAGGTATACTACGGAGGAGGGGGGGGGGGCAAAATTCATCTTTTCAACAAGATTTTTTTAGATACATGTGGCAGGGTTTTACACCGTACATATGCTGCTGCATTAACAATGAACAGCAAAGATTATTTCAAAGAAAAAAAAGTGGAGACGGGGGGTGGGGATCACTTATGACTATGTGTTTGTCCTACTAGAAGTACATGTTTAAACATGTTATGTGTCAATGATGAAATCTTGCTTCAATAAGCAGTGGAAAGATTGCTCATGATTGTATATAGGTACTTATTGCTTGTTTCTATGGAAACAG